GAGAGAGAGAGAGAGAATCCCAAGCAGGCTTTGCGCTGTCAGTGCATAGGGCTGGAACTCACAAACCGTGAGATCATGATCGGAGCTGAAATCAAGAGTCTGAAACTTAACCTGCCGAGCCACCCAGGTGCCCCTACCTGTGTGACTTCTAAGTCTCAGTTTCTTCATTTGTAAGTGGATATTATAATCTAGAGATTGTTAGGATCAAATGAGATCCTGCACATGAAACAGTTAGCAAAGGGCCTGGCACCTAATAAATAATTAGCTAATGTTTGTTATTATTATTAGAATTTCAGCTGGCATTTGCAGAATAATTAAAATTCTTTGACTACAACAGCCATTTGAAATGGGTCATTGTCAGAAAATTATTTTACTGTTCAAAATACAATTCTAATATTTGTGGCAAAGTTTTACCTCTTTTTTTAAAAAATTAATTTATTTAAGTTATCTCTACACCCCACGTGGGGTTTGAACTCACGATCCTGAGATCAAGAGTCGCATGCTCCTCCAACCAAGCCAGCTAGGTGCCCCTGATCTCTCCTTTCTTTAGGACAGATTTATGTGGCAAATCATTGTTATTATCTGGTGGTCAAAGAATCAAAGTATATCAAGCCCTCCTCACCCCAAAATTTACAACCATATCCTCCAAAAATTGGAACATACTTCTCTTACTTTTTTCAAATTCACTCTAACAAATAGATGGTTATATCTACATTTGAACAGGAATATTTCCCAATTTAATTAACCAGACTGTTAATGTTCCTAGTCTTTATATTTGGATAGATATTTTAAAATTCATTTGTTTAAGGGGTGCCTGGATGGCTCAGTCGGTTGAACATATGACTCTTGGTTTAAGTTCAGGTCATGATCTCACGGTTCGTGGGTTTGAACTCTCCATTGGGCTCCATGCTGACAGTGAGGAGACTACTTGGGATTCTTCTCTGCCTCTCTCAGCCCCTCCCTCTCTCAAAATAAATGAATTTTTAAAAAATTAAAGTTAATTTGCTTAAAGTATAGTAATTTTCCATGCAGGTCTTTATATAGAGATAAATGCAGACATGAACTAAAAATTTAGTTTTAAAACTTGTACAGGTATCTTTATAATGTGTTTGAACTTTGTGAAAATGGACATTGAAAATTGTGCTGTATACATTCTCTGTGATTTGCTTCTTTTATGCAACACTTTTTCAGATTCGTTCATGTTGATGGATTCAACTACATTCATGTTCACTGCCACATAGTATTCTATTGTGTCATTTTAATATTATTCATCTACTTTTCTGATGCATTTTGGGTTTTTTGATATAAGGAAGAATGTAGCTATAAACATTAGTATACACATTTTTTGGTGTATCCAGTGTGATAGAATTGTTGATATGTGATATAGGAACTTTAATACACTTTGATTCTTAAAATTCAAAGGACTATATAAGTTATATAAAATGTAAATGATTATGCTTAAAGGGGTCACAACCCTTAACATATTTGCAGTGATTTTTTAATACAATTTAAATTTTTTTAATAATATAAAGGTTTAGAAAATATAGAAATGGGAAACATCACCTATAATTTTTAAATATTTATCTTATACATATATGTTTTGGCCAGATTGTAATTATAGTACTTAGATTTGTTTCCTGCTATTCATGCACATTTAACTATATATATGAAACATCATAGGTTTCTTATTTATGTTAGTTATTAATAGCTGGATATTACTTCCATTAGGGAGATAGACCATAATTTTCTTAGCCATTCTCTTCTTGTTGAAAGCTTATTTAGATTGTTTCTGGTATTTTGTTATAAAAAATACTGTGATGAACATGTGTGGGACTATGATTCTTTCCAGGGAGGGTCAAGGAAAAGCATCACAATAGCAGCCTGGAAACAATTACAAAACCTTTTTCGATCTAACAGAGGAATTAAAACTTTGACTGATTAATATTAGGCAGTCTGTGGTATATGCTTTACATGTTTTTTTCACTTAATCCTCAAATCAGTGAAATGAGTAGTATGCCCATCATATATTTACCTGATTGTATTATACTGATCTGTTTGTATCTGTCTCCTAAGAATTACATTTTATTTGAATCTTCAGGGTCTGTTTTAGTTCCTGGCACATAGTGAGACTCAATAGATGTTATCTACTGAAATGAATGTTTGAAAAGTTTTGCCTAGGGTCATCCCTGGACTTAACCATTCAAAATTCTCTTCCCTGCTACCTTTGTTTCTTGTGCCAAGTTTTACAGATCTTTGAGGGAGGGGATTGGTAATAAACTGACTCCAGGGTTGTGGCCTGAAAGGCACTTTTTACACCACATCTCTGATTTTAAACTTTGTCTCTTTTTGTCAGTTATCTCTGCCAAAAATGTTCTGTCAAGAGGAAATTCTAGTTGGATTTGTATTAATGGATACTTCTGCTGAAATGAGTGTTTAAAATTACTATATGTTATTTATTCATTTGCAGTTTCGTTCTTTTCTCTGGTTATTTGGAATATTCAGTGAGATACATTAGAACCACTCTGTAGCTTTTTTTCAGTGGAGGGAGGAAGAACTATATATTTTTTTAAACAACTTTTTTTTTTTATGTTTATTGATTTTTGACAGAGAGAGAGAGAGAGAGCATGAGCTGGGGAGGGGCAGAGAGAGAGGGAGACACAGAATCCGAAGCAGCTCTAGGCTCCGAGCTGTCAGCACACAGAGCCTGACGCTGGGCTCAAACTCACTGTGAGATCATGACCTGAGCCGAAGTCGGACGCTCAACCGACTGAGCCACCCAGGCGCCCCAGGAAGAACTATTCTTAACAACCTACAAAACTGGAGACTACCTAAATACCCACTAAGCATTCTTGAATTCATTTACCCTACACCTCTGTGTTTCTACAGCACTTACTAATAGTTTCATTCATTTTAAACTAGTTTGCTTTTGCCTTTATAGTTTGCCATAAACATACCATTTTCATCACATGTTGTTGAGAGTTCTATACTTCATCTTTCTTTTATTGTTGCTAACATGGAAAATCTTTGGTTTTATACCCCTATTTTTGTATACTTGGAGTATACTCTGAGTAACAAATTTAAAATGTAGGAATATTGGATAGTTTAAAACACACATATTTCTTACACGTACGCTGGAAAGAATGTACAGTTTTGGAATGCCATATAGTGAGGTCAGGATCCTCAACTAGAAAAGAAAGAGAAGCTGCTTTCAAGTTCTTCTGTTGCTGTATTAGTTGACGATCAGAAGTAAATCGCAGGAGCATCTGTAAGTCAGGCTTATTTTGGTGATTGTGACTTACCAGAGAAGAATAAGAGAAGTAACATGAAATATAATTCCTTTTTTAAAGGAATTGAATTAAGATCTTTTAGCTCTTTTTTAGCTTTCCTGAATGTGCTCTCATAATTACTACTTTAACTAGGGGATATCTTATTTTGAAAGTACATATTTTTTTATATTTGTGAAAAGTATGTACCTAAGGTATGCTGAGAAAACTACTTTTATTCTGGTATTCTGTAATTCAGTAGAATTACTTATGATTTTTTAATTGTAATTCACAATGTGCAGCTTATTTGTGCAACACTTTGCCCTTATAAGTATTTTTGCTGAGTTTTAAATTTGAGTTTTAGTAAATAAAAATATATTTTCTAACTGCTTTACTGTAAGCAGTTGTTTTACTAATTTTGCTAGTATTTTCCCATAACTCAGTTGTTTGTTGCAAGCCCTTTTCCTAACTTTGTAATAGGTTAATGATGGTCTTTAAAAAAAAGAAAAAAAAAGTCCCCTGGGGAACTACAGTAAGGTCTGTTATATTTCTTTTTGTTTAGTAGTGTCAAATTCTATTAATAAATATAATGAGTTATTTTTAAATTAGTTTTGTTTTTCAAAACTGATCTGGCTATTATTGTTGCAAATTCACTATTTCAACTATAATGGTCTTTACTACACTTTTTAAGTAAGATTTTAATATGTTAAACACCTTTTTCCCCCCTTCTTTAGGTATGGCTGATGGCAAGCATTGTACTTTTCCACATCTGCCTGGCAAAACCTTTGTCTATAATGCTTCTGAAGATAGACTGGAGTTGTGTGTGGATGCTGCAGGACATTTCCCCATCGGTCCTGATGTTGAAGATTTAGTTAAAGAGGCTGTAAGTCAGGTTCGAGCAGAGGCTACTACAAGAAGTAGAGAATCCAGTCCCTCACATGGGCTATTAAAACTAGGTAGTGGTGGAGTAGTGAAAAAGAAATCTGAGCAGCTTCATAACGTAACTGCCTTTCAGGGAAAAGGGCATTCTCTAGGAACTGCATCCAGTAACCCACACCTTGATTCAAGAGCTAGGGAAGCCCCAGTTGTACGGAAGCATAACACAGGGACAGACTTTAGTACTAGTTCCATTAAAATAGAGCCTTCTGTATTCACAGCTGCTCCTAGTAATAGTGAGCTTATTCGAATAGCTCCTGGAGTAGTTACAATGAGAGACAGCAGGCAGCTTGATCCTGATTTGGTTGAGGCCCAGCGAAAAAAATTGCAGGAAATGGTTTCTTCTATCCAGGCTTCAATGGACAAGCACTTGCGGGATCAAAGTACAGAGCAGCCACCATCTGATCTTCCTCAAAGGAAAGCAGAAGTTGTGAGTTCTTCTGTGAAGTCTGGGAGTCTTCAGACTGGCTTACCTGAATCTTTTTCCTTAACTGGTGGCACTGAAAATTTGAATATAGAAACAACTGATAGCTGTGTGGCAGAGGCACTGGGAGCAGCATTTGCCACAAGGTCAAAAGCACAAAAGGGAAATTCAGTGGAGGAGCCTGAAGAGATGGATAGCCAAGATGCTGAAATGACAAATACAACTGAGCCAATGGATCACTCTTGATTTATTTAGAGGCTAATAATAAAGGCAGAATGTTTATTGTGAATATGTAACATTTGTTGGCTGGGCCACATAACTCAATTAGTCATAAAAAATCTTGTACGTATATAATTCAAAGATTATATCTTGTTATTCAGTGCATGACAGCAAGTGTGTGATTGGCAATAGCTTTTAATATACTGCTGCCCAGGCTGGCTCTGAATTCCTATAAATTAGTTATTAGATCTGCTGAGATGAGTTTCTTCCATACATGTGGTTCATTGGAAGTTTTTGTAACTTTAATTCCATGAAAGTCTTAATGTTTCAAACATGAAAATTCTCTTGCTAATGTTTGATTTCTGAAAAGGATAGAACTAGGGGGAAATGAGATTTTGCTAATGTTGATGTCATCAAGATAACCATTCCACATATTTATTAGAGTGTCAAAAGATTTATGTAAATTTGAAGGTTATCTGAACTAAATTGTATCTTAAAATTCATAGAAGGATTTATTAGATACTGGGATCCTGACATTTCTGTGAACGTAAACACATTCATAGAGATATGTATTCTTGGTGAAAAATATCTTGAGAATAGAGTGTAATGATATAACATTTTGCTGATTTAAGCAAGGCTAGGGGGAAAATATCTATTCTAGAATGATAAAGTCAATGTGATTCAGTAATGTTGCTGTCTGAGCCAACACAGCCAATTGTGTGCTCTGTTGTTGATAATATGTTACCATTATTTTTTTAATCCTGGCCTGGTCAAGTACCACTGAATTTTTTTCTTTAATCTTGCAGAAAAGTTGATTTCAAAGTGTGGTAGAAAATATGAAAATAATGGTAGCAGTAGTTAATCTCTAATTTTCAGAGTTTGTCAGATTCACAGAGAATTTATATATAAGAATTTATCTTTATGAATGAGTTACATTGTTCTACAATTTTGATCAATGGTATTTAAGCTTGTATATGCTAAATGTCTTTGAGCCCCTTTGAACCAAAAATGTTTCCTTTTTTCCCTTAGCATCCATAAAATTTTCTTTATTTGTTGGCTTCACTTGGATTTGGATGCAAATTTTACTGCATCATACCCTGATCAACTGGGCATTTGCTTAAATAGTGTATTCATCAAATCTTTAGTGCCAGTTTCCTCAAGAAGCAGCTTTCATGCTTATTATACCTTAAAGACAAAGAATGTTTATCCTGAGATTGGTATTGCACTATTTTATCCTATTCTGCAAAGCTCTTTTCTGAAATGTACATTTCAATCCATCTTTTTCCTTTGTTCACTGAAATTAAGTTGAATTTGAATGGATGAAAGACAAAATGTATGTTAATACAATCTCTTATCTAGAGCATTCAAAGCCTGGCTGTCTCTGTTTGCACATGTAACAGATACAGAACTGTGTTTTCAGTCTAAGAAAATGTTCATCAGAAAGTATATTATCAGGTGTTTCAAAATTTCAGCCTGTTGATTTATTAAGGAATATATATACAGTACTTTGACTTGTGTTTCCAAAGAAGGGAGGTTTTAGATTTCTTTCTATGAAAGTATTTCTGACTTAATCCACTTACTAAATGAACTACTCCATTTTGAATCAGGAAAGAATGGAGAATCTAGACATTTTGCAAGTGATATCTGAGCAAGATATATATTTGGGTTTTATCACATCACATTTTAAACCATATTTTATCTCTTTTCTTCTAAATTTAGTTTCAATTATCTTAATACCTAAAGAGCAGGAAAATTTAGGACTTTTATATTGTACACTCGTTTTGCATAAAGAACTGCAGCTACCAAATAATTATTTAGTTAGTATAGTTGGCTTCTGGGTATAAAACTAAAAATTAGAACTACCACTAACCACTATAATTATTTTTGGGCTCTTTCACCCACTGAAACTGGCTTTTTCTTATTAGTTTAAATACAGGAAAACTGTTTAGCAAGCAGATGCACTGCTTCCAGGTAAATGATATAATCACCTTTTCTTTAACAAATATTTTCTTCACCTGTGGCTTGGCATGTTTAGTTAATAACTGAGAAATACACTCTCATAGCATAAAGTAAAAGTGTCAGGAATAAATTTTATCTTCCTATTAAATATTTGCATTTAGTCAAATTAGAATGCACCTGTGAACATTAGAAGAAGGGCTTTAAACTCTGATAACACTATTAATTTCTCTTGCCACAGCAATGCTATTTAGAAGCCAGTTAGGTATGAATATTATAATAGTTTGGGTTCTCCCTTGATAAAGAATAAAAGGCTTGATTTTGAGAGTGGTCAGATTTTCTGAAATTATTTTAAATTTGCTGAAATTTGGGTGGAGTAAGTAGTAGGTTTTGAGAAGTGGGCCAGGTATCATCTTCACAAGTTTTAGAAAGAATTTAAGTGCTTAATTTTCATCCTTTGTCCTTCCATATGGTTATCATAATCAAATACATGACCACAGACTTCTTATTTTTTAGTACTGCCATTTGTGGTCACCACAACTTTGAGTTCAAGCTAGAGATCATAAATCGTTAAAATATTTTTTTTAGCCCTAGATGTAACATAACCATAACTCAATCTTATAATTAAATTCTATTTGCGATGTTTCACTGAAACTTAAAGTAAAATTGTAAATTTTTCTCTTCAGTAATACATTTTATAAGTAGTCATACCAAGTTTGAAATGATGACCAAAAGTCCAAGTAGAGTTGAAGATGGTGTATGTTTAGAATAGTAGTAATGACAAACTGGTTGAAATTGAAGAAAACAAGACACTGCCATATATTATAAGCTAGAATATAATGAACTCCAAGAGAATGTTTACTCAGGAACTGGTTAAAAAGTAAGCCTAAGTTTCCCCTTTCACTATGTTTCAAGTATTTTATTGGAAAATGTTAGAATGAAGACCTGAGAGAAATTTAGCAAATGCTATTGACTGTGAAATTTGCTTTATATCTTCTGATGATTTTTAGTTTGGTTTTCACAGTCAAGCCTACTGCTTGCAATTAAGACATCAATCTGAAATGCATCTGTGAATCCCAGCCACAGGTCCCTATTGCCATTCTTTTTAAGTATCTAACTTGATTTGAAATGAGCAGACTTTTGTGTATGGTCTCTTACCTCAGGGAAGATCACTTGCTAGCAATTCATATATTACTAATGACAGGTTTTTGAGAATTGTACTGACATCACATGTTAGCTACTAAATGCACAATTTATAACTATTACTTTATGGAGCTGCCTACTAATAACTGACTGCTAGTGAACATTTTCTTAAAAATTTAGAACTCGCTAATTACTAATCTTTAGCTATGAAGTAAACTCGTAACTTCTGTCATTAATTATGCTTTGATCAATATAGTGACAATATCTAATACTGTGTTTATTTCAGAATATCAGTACAATTTTATCTTCATTTTTCAATAGGAATTTCAGTTGGCCCACACTTAAAATACTGCAGAGTAGATATTGAGAGTTTCATGGTTCCCAAAGCAAGATCTCCATATTAAGATTTTCCTAGAAGCCTTTGCAAAATTGAATTAAGCTGCATTTGATACGAATTTAAAATGACCTTTATCATAGCAGTAGTGAGATACATACTCTACATAAGTTGGGTAGATATATCCTACAGTTCAAGATTATATAATTTAACAAAATTGTACATTCTCAAGGCTCTTCACAATATAAGAAATTAATTTGCAAAAGAGAACTATTCACTTGAAAACATACCACAGTAGAATGTTTACTTAAGAAATAAAATAACAAAGCGGAGCTCTTGTAAGATTTATAGTTAACTGTAAGTTCTGCCATTCTTAATAATTCTTTGAGATACTGTGTTTCAATTCATATTTAATGATAATTAAATTGTGGGAATTTTAACGTTTGTTCCAAAATAGCAGAAATTGTAAAAAATTGTGAATTATTGGAGAAAATGCCATTACTTGTATATCTGACATTTAATTTTTTAAATTATGGAGTCTACATGCTTTTGTAGTATAATATTAATACAATGATTATTCTCTTGTAAAAGAAAAGGAAAATTAGTAAAA